AAGGACGTCCGTGCTAAGAGCACACTCACCCCCGACGGACGGAGGACAGACAGACTCAGACTCAGCAACAAGACTGGCGGCGTAGTCTAGACGACAGGCAGCAGCAAAGTCAACAAGCTCAGCGACCAAGGCAGACGCAGCAGTAGACTCAAACGACGGGTCAGTGACAACAGTGGCTAGGAGACGCGTGACAGTAGGGTGCTCAGTACGAAACCGGTCAGACTCAGGGTCCGGAACGGCAGGCAGAGAGGACGCAGGGGGAGACGGCAGAGGAACAGGCTGCGGAGCAGAGGAAGGACGACGGACAACAAGGTGTGCGCTGGGGACAGCCGGCTGACGCGCACGAGCGACACGACGAACGGTACGACCAGAACGAACAGGTGAGACAGGACGCGACGCAGGCTCACGACGCGTAGCAGGACTGCCTGTCTGCTCAGTGTAAGGAGAGGGAGCAGGTAGCGGTGAGCCAGTCTGTAACGGAAGACCAGTAGACGACGGGAGAGTAACAACCTGACGAAGAGCAGAGTCAGGCGGCGGCAGAGACGACGGAGACGGCGGAGCGAAGAACAGTCGTGTCGGCGCAGCTGCACCAGTACCGGCAGCTCCAGCAGCTCCAGTGCCTCCAGCAGCTCCAGTACCTCCAGCAGCTCCCGTACCTCCAGCAGCTCCAGAAGCTCCAGTCCCAGAGCCGACACCCCCAGTCCCAGGGTCTCCAACCTCTGTGTCTCCAGCAGCAGCACCCCCAGACCCAGCACCTCCAGTCCCAGGGTCTCCAGTCTCAGTGTCTCCAGCAGCAGCACCCCCAGAACCAGCACCTCCAGTCCCAGGGTCTCCAGCCTCAGTGTCTCCAGCACGAGCACCTCCAGAACCAGCGACTCCAGCACCTCCAGTAGACAAAGGACCAGCACCACTCCTAGCTCCAGCAGCGCGACGCTGACGGCGACCGTACCAGTCCTGCAGCTGCTGTGGGGTGAGAGGCACACGTGGACGAAGGCGGCTACTCCAAGGAGACCGCGCAGCAGCAGACTCAGAACCCTCAGCGCCCGCACCCCCAACGGCTCCAGAACCTCCGGTGTCAGTACCCTCAGCACCAGTACCTCCAGCGGCTCCAGAACCTCCAGCACGAGCACCCTCAGCAGCTCCAGAACCTCCAGCTCCAGCGCCACCAGTACTAGGCCCTCCAGCAGCTCCCGAACCTCCAGCGCCAGCACCCTCAGTAGCTCCAGAACCTCCAGCGTCAGTACCGCCAAGCTCAGCACCCCCAGACCCCTCACACTCAGGCTCAGCACCACCAGGCTCCACACCCTCAAGCTCCGCACCCTCAGGCTCAGCACCCCCAGGCTCAGCACCCCCAGGCTCCGCACCCCCAGGCTCAGCACCCCTAGAAGTAGCACCCCGAGAAGGACCACCCTCAGTAGGACCTGAGTCACCAGTGACCTCAACCGGCGCAGTCAAGGGAGGAGGGTCTACCTGAGAAACACCTGAAGGAGCAGGACCAGGAGTGGGGAGGGGGTCTACCTGGGGAGCACCTGGAGCAAGGAAGAGCGGCGGGGGGGGGAGCGGGGCAGTGCGGTAGGGGAAGAGACGGTAAAAGGGAACCGACTCGTCGAACGTGACGTCCTGAGACGCAAAGACACAGCGCGAGGTGGGATGGTAAAACTGCCAACCAGGCGCGTCAGGGACAAAGCCAAGGAAGACACAGGGAACAGCGCGGGCAGAGAGCTTGTCCGCGGTGGTATCGAGCACCCCAGACCCGGAAACGCGACGCATCACCAACCTTCCCCGTCCACAGCAGGGTGGGCGAGGTCTCCGGCAAGGAGACACGGGGCCAGAGGTTGAGCTGATGCGCGGCGTACCGGACCGCAAACGGCCACAGGAAATGGGGGGCAGCCGCATGGATCATGGAGGTACGAGCGACCTCCATGACTAAGCCAATGCGACGCTCAGCAACCCCATTCTGCTGTGGAGAGGCCGGAAGCGTGAACGACTGGGTGATGCCGTGCTCCGCACAGTAGGCTGCCAAGAGGTCAGAGGAGAACTCACCACCTCTGTCAGAGTGCAAACGCAGGACAGGAAAGTCCCGCCGGAACCGCTCGCGGAGCTGGAGACGAACAGCGCGGATCCAAGGGATCAAAACATCAGGGACGTCCCCCTTGCTCTGCAAGGGGAAGACCGTGGTGTAACGCATGTAGTCGTCGACAACCAGCAGGAAGTACCGCTCGCGGCCCTGTCCCTGGACGCGGGCTGGGCCCCACACGTCCAGGTGGAGCGTCTGCAGTGGAGCCTCTGTGGGAGGAAACGAGGAGGAGTGAGGAGCGGCGCGCTGCCGCCCCTCGACGCAAGGAATGCAGGGCGGCGCAGGCGAGGGAGGGAGGGCAGGCAGAGACCTGGGAAGACCAGAGACCAGGGAGCGAGAGTGCATGCTACGCAGGCGAGGCAAGGAGGGGTGACCAAGACGGTGGTGCCACAGGAGAGTGTCGTGCGACAAAGCGCGACACTCGCAGGGGGCCGCCAGCTGACCAGACGTAGACGCAGACGCAGCTACCTGAGGGGACTCAGTGGTCAGTGTGTACAAACTCGAGCCAGGTGCACGGGTGAACGTGGCCAAGTGCCGGCCCGTCCTAGCACACGTACAGTGAGTCACTCGCTGACTCGCAGGAGTGAACTGGTCAACCTCCCGATCCTGGAGGTCAGCTCCACTCACCAAGTTCGTAGAGAACGAGGGGAGGTAAAGACCTGACAGCGAGCCGGACGGGACGGCCGGACACGGCAGAACCGTGGAGTAGTGGGCAAGGACCGGACCCCCGGAGGGGTCCGCCAGGGAGACTGGAACTGGCCGACTAAGCGGCGTGAGTGTGGTGCAGTCGCGAAAGAAGGAGCGAGAAGCTCCTGAGTCAAGGGTGAAGGTGTGCGAGACCGTAGTTGGCGCAGTACCAGAGAGAGCAGACTCACCAGCACCTGAAGCCACGGCCTCACCAGTACCTAGAGCAGTAGACGTACTAGCACCGAGAGCAGCAGCCTCACCAGCACCTAGAGCAGGAGACGCACTAGCACCTAGAGCAGCAGCCTCACCAGGGTCAGGCGGTACGCACAGATAACAGGCACGATCAGCACTAGTAGGCAATGCATACATGGCAGTGAGAATAGCATCATAGTCAAGCGCAAAGATATCTACCCTCTGTCCATGCAGCTCCAGCCAGGTGGGGAGCTCAGCCTCGTCGCCAAACACTGTGCGCCAGTCGTCGCTCAGACGGGCGAAGCAGCGGGACTGTGTGTGACCAAGCGTCCCACAAGGCTGACCAGTCCTAGCACCTGTGCGAATGACGTACGGGCAGCGAACTGTACGCGTAGACCTGCTACACTGAGCGTACCACTCCTGGAGCTGCCGGGGCGTAAGTGTCTCACGTGGATCCGCATCAGCGGCAGGTCGTGGCCGAGGCAGAGGGCCGCGCGCGGCTCGGCGCGGGCTGCGCTGACAGCGCGCTGAGCTGCTGCAGGCCGCGCGCGGGCTGTTGCGGGCCGCGCGCGGGCCGCGCGAGGCAGTAGCAGGCCGCGCGCGGCTCGGCGCGGGCTGCTGCGGGCCGCGCGCGGGCCTCGCGAGGCCGTAGCAGGCCGCGCGCGGCTCGACGCGGGCTGCGTGGGCTCGGCGCGGGCTGCGCGCGGCCGCAAGATGCGGGCTGCGCGCGGCTGCAGCGGGCTGCGCGCGGCTCGGTGCGGGCTGCGCGCGGCTGCAGCGGGCTGTGCGCGGCTCGGCGCGGGCTGCGTGGGCTCTGTGCGGGCTGCGCGCGGCTGCAGCGGGCTGCGCGCGGCTCGGCGCGGGCTGCGCGGGCTCTGTGCGGGCTGCGCGCGGCTGCAGCGGGCTGCGCGGGCCTGACGGGCCTCTAGGGGCGGCTCGTGGGCCTTACGGGCCTCTAGGGGCAGCGCGCTGGCCTAGGGCAGCAGGAGGCAGCGCTAGGGCTGCTGGACGGCGCACATAGTGCAGCACGTCACAAGGCAAGGCAAGGCAGGCAGGTACGTGGGGTAGCGCGGTAACCGCAGCGGTAGGTGGGCCCGAAAAAAAACGGTCCTACGGACCTTAGTGCTCTGATACCATGTTAGAATCTAGTAGCAGGAATGGATGAACTAGCAACATGCAGGAGTACAAGTAGTAAACCCTAATTGGGCTGTACCCCATATGGGCTACCCCACTACAGCCTAGACAATATGCAGCATATATGTTTGACACCTCCTCCTTAGGAAAAGACAATGGATTTGTAGTATCCTCGCTCTCTAACTCTCCGTCTTTCTGTTAATTTAACACATTCCCCAACCCAGATCGTGGACGTGGTTGATCTGCTGCCCGGCCCCATCTGGCACATCATCTTCCGCCACCTGCTGCTGGGTAGCTCCTCCGGCGCATCACAAGAGGGAGGAGCAGGCAGCGCCTCCGGTGCATCACTTCTTAGTCGACTCAAAAAGAAGCTTCAGAGTCTGGGTAACTCCTCGGGCGCATCACAGGAGGGAGCAGGCAGCACCTCGCCAGGTGCCACTGGGAGTGGACTTCTGAGTCGACTGAAAAAGAAACTGCAGAATTGGGGTAATTCCTCGGGCGCGTTGCAGGAGGGAGGAGCAGGGGACGCGTCCTTCGGCTCCTACTGGCCTCTGCTGCGCTGCGCCATGGTCTGCAAGAGGCTCCTCCACCATGTCGCCTCCTTCCCCGTGAGTCTCTCATTGCTCCCCTTAATCCATGGTGAAATTCTTCTCTGGGTGCTGAGTTATGATGCGGTCACGGTCACGGCTACGGTCATGGCTAAGCTCCTCAACCGTCTTCTTGTCCGTAGCTGCGTGTGAGCAATTTTTCGAGACAAATACTCGGCCAAGCAACACTCAGGAGGCTTTTAAGTTGACTCACAAAGTCGCTTCTCTAGCACCTTCTTATCGCTGTGTCTGTCTCTCCATCTGTCTCTCCTCCTCTCTGTCCATCTATCTGTCACTCTGTGTACGAGCAGGAGTTCGAGCCCATGAAGCTGACTATCAACTCCGAAGGCCCCGCGCTCACACGTCTCTCGGGAACGCTCTCTTTCTTTCTCAAACACGCGCCTCACACGCCTCTTAATGTCGTTCTCAACAGCTCTCAGGACCTGCACTACCTCAGCCGTCTCTTGGGACCCTCTGCGCGCTCCCTCACAACCTTGTGCGTTGGGCTCAAGATACCTTACAAAAAAATGCTCCCTGCGGGACAGTGGCTGCTGCATTCAGAATTTCTGGGGGAGTTTGAGCAGCTGGAGAAGATGGAGCTTCTAGGTCGTGGGATATGGAAATTAGGCAGCCTGAATGCAGCAATGTTCCAAGCCTTACGAAGTCTGAGCATCCACGATTTCGAGCGCGAGAGAAATTCTCTGCCCGTTCTCTCATCCATCGCACCGCAGCTGCATGAATTCGCTCTTGCCTGCTCCACCCATGGCTCTGGCTCTGCCTCTACCACCCTCGATTTCGAGTTCATCGTTGCTCGATCTATCACAGTCTCCTTTGAGGACCAAGCACTCCACCTCCGCTTCGCCCTGCCTGCCTCTTTGAGGTCCTTCTCTTCTACTGCGTGGTTTCTTCGCGTGGATTGCACATGCAACAGCCGCCTCTCTCTCGACTCGCTCTCTCTCATTGGCCGCTCGCAGCTCCTCGTTTCTTCACTACCATTGGCTGCCGCCAAATCCGTCTACTTGAAAGGACCAGCCAATCGAAAAAACCAGTCGCGTGGTTTTCCCTGTTCCGATCTCGAATCTCAGCGCACCATCACCCACCTGCTCAGCAGCATAGCGCCTACAGTGGAGATGCTTGTATTGAGGTACGGCTGGCCTCTGGAGGGCGTGCGTGTGGAGTGGAGCCGCCTTCGTTGCGTTTTCATCGGTATAGAGAGGATTGGGGGGATTAATCACCAATATTATCCGGGCAATCCGGAAAATTCTAATTTTTGGAAGTTCATTAGTGCGGGAGGAGAGGAGGGCGGCGTCAGCAGCAGCACCAGCGGCTTGCTCATCAATGCTCCGAAATTGGAGTCGTTTTACGATGCCACGGAGCTGCTTAAAGTGTTCTGGAATTAGGTTGAGGTGAGTGTGACAAGGCAGGATGAGATGCTCAGGATGAGATGTTAGGATGAGATACAAGTATGACAGTCGCAGTATGATTTACCTCGCTACCGCGTAGTAATCATATATTTGGTTTGACAAGGAGAAAGGGCGGGATTGTTCAGGTACAGATGAACGCGAAGATGCAAGGAGGTGGTTAGGTAATGGGTGAGTGGAATCAGTTATGAGGGTTGCATTTGTGAGGGAGGTGGGTGCAGGGACGAGCAGGAAGTGTGGTGTTTGCTGATAACGGTGGTGGTAATGGTGTGACCATGGGGTGGTTTGACCATAAGGGGGTGTGGCGATGGGATGGTGTGGTGCACTGTAAGCAAACCCTTGGCGATGGGATTGCAATTGTATGACTATAGGATGGCGATGGGATGGCGATGAGGCTCGCAGTGGGGATGGCAGTGGTGTGCATTTGCGGTGCTTCTGTAGCTGTGGTGCTGTGTGTCATAGCATAATGGCAGATCCTATTGTTTGTTGTCTGGGTGGAATGGGGTCAGATTGTGTCACGGTGAGTGTATGGAAACACAACGTGTCATAGCGGTAGCATGGGATCCCCTAGTGTCACAGTGATAGCATGGGGTCAGATCACGTTCACCATGCCATGGGTCAGGGCATGGGTCACCGTGTAAACCCTCTTAGCTATTTCATGCTGTGGAGGGAGATAGCAAGCAGGGTGGCTGGGATAGTGAGTGCGTGGGATCAAGATGGACTGGTGTGAGGCTTATTTTGTAAGGGAGATGGGTACAGGGGCGAGCAGGAAGGGAGGTGTGTGCTAATAACGGTGGTGGTAATGGTGGAGGTGTGTGCAGGGACGAGTAAGATGGGCGTTTTGTGATGATGGCGGTGGTGCATTGGTTTGACAATAAGGGGGATGTGGCCATGGGGTGATGTGGCCGTGGAGTGGTGAGTCCAGGGGGTGGTGTGCACCTGATGTGGTGGAGGAACTGGTGGTGATGGGATGGCAATGGGTGCCGGCAGTGGGGGTGACAATGCTGGTCATTCAAGTCTGAATGCTCATTGCAGTGGTGGCATTGGTGGTGACCTTGGGGTAGTGTGTGCAGGGACGAGCAGGAGGGGTACTGTGTGATAACAATGGTGGTGGTAATGGTATGACAACAGGGGGGGTGTGGCCATGCGGTGGTGTGCACCTGCCACCACCCGTATGAGGGGGAGCAACAGATGGAGCAAGTTTACCAGCAGCAGCAGCAGCGGCATATCATGGCATCTCAATCTCAGACCAATCATACCCAGGCGACCTATTCCCCCATGGCACATCCTGCACACAGCTAAACTGGCGGCAGCCCTGCATTCACTAGTGCCACTCTCCATTCAGTCACATCCGCTCACCTTAATACCCCCGATCCCAGCCTTGCACCGGTGGACATGAACAGTGGTCTGCACATTGATTTCGAATCTCCTGGCTGGAAACCCATCTCTGCAGCAGCGAAAGATCTCATCCGTCGAATGCTCTGCATCAACCCCGATCAACGGCTGAGCTCGCTTCAAGTGCTGGAGCACCCGTGGCTGAATCAACGGTCTGTGAGAAGCCGTGACTTGGCTGCTCTTTGCCCCGCCTTGCTGTTCCATCCACCATACCCATCCACATCCTCATCTAAGCCCTCATCAACATCCACTTCTGCGCCATACGCATGCACTCGCACATCTACACCCGTTTTTTCGTCATTGAATCAGATTGCACCTGAGATGGCAATGCAAGGTTGATGGATTAGAGGCCTGGCGGTCGCCCATAAGAAGGGTGCTCGCCTAATTTGGTGAGCACCACTGGCACAAGCGATCACCATTTTTCTAGTCATTAGCTTCACCTTTTTAAAGAATTCTGCTAGCTGCCATTGTGTAGGCTGTTCTGGACACTAGGTAGGTTAGGTTAGAAGCCGGATTGACAGGTGTGCAGCCACCTCAGCTGTGCAGTCGATTCTTAGATGCAGAACTAGACGTTCTCATTGTGCATCAATTGCTGCTTGATTTTCTAGATTTTGGGCCAGCTTCAGTGGCCAAATGAGCTGAAATGAAAATAAGATTGATATTGTCTGGTGGTTCACATGATGCTTGGAATGGGGTCTTGCAAAATTGGTTCATATAGACAGCACCAGAGTTGAGGGAAATGAAGTCCCCAACTGACGTGTCGAGGCAACCCTTATATCGTCAGGCGAAGGCCAGGCGAAAGAGAGCGAAATCGTCATATCTGTTAGATGGTACGCTCGTAACGATTTCGTTATGACGTCGTGACGATCGCAGCTCATTTGTTCGCGAACAGCTGTGAGCTGTTGCTGGTTTGTTGCTCGACATACTTGAGAATTCATGGATACCTTGAATGAAATCAACATTCCTGCCATGCATCCGCCCATGGTTCCTGCTTATAGCTACTATCGACAGCTAGAGAATTTGAGGCGAGCCTCGCCTGGTACCTCGCCGGGTGGTATTGCTGCTAGCGGTGAAACCATTGCGTGGCTGGATGAGCGAATTTTGGGCACTGGCACAGCTGTTGCTGCCACGTGTCGGAATTAAGAGGTCTCGAAACCCACCGCCAAGCTAGGGTACTTGATCAAAAGTATTGCTCAGGCTTATGCTATGTTTTTCTCTAAAGCGGCTCCCCCTAAGGCTGCTTCTGGTTTCCGCCACAGAGACACACCTCGCGCTTGGCCATGCCTTCCCCTGCCTTGCCGTGTCGCGCTCTCACACATTACTTTCCGCCTCACACACACGCCTCCCGCCTTGTTCACGCCTTCCCTTGCCTTGCCGTGTCGCGCTCCCACACACTCCGTCTGCCCGCCGCCGCTGTGCCGCAGCGCAGATGGATGACCAGTGAGTTCAGCGAGGGCAGGGTTTCATGGTGGTGCGAGAACGCGGTGAACGGCGAGAACGCGGATTTGGTGGTATGAGGAAACGTAGTATCAGGTCCCGTCAGGGTGTTCTACAGATAATCTTCATTTTTTTCTTCACCATGAGTAGGAAACTCAAACGACGTCAGTAAGATTTCAAGTTTGCTGTCCGCAAAGAGTACACGCTAAACACTTGAAGTATTAATCGATCTATCCCAGTCAGATTCCATTTCCTGGTTGACTCTTCCGTTACCGCCTATGGCTAGCCGTGGAGCTGTGGTGGTGGAGCAGATGCGTGCTCTTGACATTGCAGCATCCTCGGATGCTCACCAGTATGAGGTGCGTGCGAGTGATGCCTCTGACAGCATCTGATGTACCTCATCTCATCTTCTTTAGTTCTCTCCCTGTATCTTTCTCTGTCTCTTTCTCTGTCTCACTCTCCCTCTCTCTCTATCCATTACTCGAATTTTATTCATCTCTCTCCCCACCCATCAGAGCGTGGACGTGGTTTGATCTGCTGCCCGGCCCCATCTGGCACATCATCTTCCGCCACCTGCTGCTGCCACCAGCAGCAGATTCCGCTCAGCCGCATACCCGGGGCGACTCCCTGAGTGCATCGCAGCAAGGAGCAGGCAGCATCTCATGGGGTACAACCAGTCAGCAGACTGTCAGGAAGCAGCATGAGAAGGACGCGAGACGCTTCGGCTCCTCCTGGCTTCTGCTGCACTGTGCCATGGCCAGCAAGAGGCTTTTTCACCATGTCACCTCTTTCTCCGTGAGAGATGCTGTGTTAGTCAGTCAATCATTCACTGATCTTTCCTGCCTTAGGTGCTGAACTGTTACTTTCAGAGTCCTCTTGTTATCAAGGTGGTGTTGAGCTGAGTCTTCTCTGTGTGTGCAGGAGCTGGAGCCCATCTCCCTTGTATACAACAGTCAGCAGATCAAATGGACAGAAATGCTCACCTGGTTCCTCACCTACACACGCCACCAGTCCCTCGACCTCACTTTCAGCAGCCTGCAGGATATGCGGGGCCTCAGCTACCTTATCGCTTCTTCTGCGCATTCCCTCACGAGCCTTTGCCTTCGGTTCAGAGATTCTTCCCGATACGTAGGTGGTCAACAACGCAAGATGATAAACGTGTCGTTTCTCGGGAATTTTGGGCAGTTGCAGCGGCTTACGCTCGGCTTTGGGAGATGGAAACTAAGCAACTGGAAGGCAGCATGGTTCAAGACCCTAAGGAGTCTTAGCATTGATCATGCGAACAGTAGCGAATACGACCTGGCGTTTCTCGCGGCAATCACACCACAGTTGCATGAGCTCTCTCTTTCCGCTAAGAGCCGTCATCCGTGCGCCCTTAGTTTTGAGTTCTCTGCTGCTCGAATCATAACAGTCAGTTTCGGATATCAGAGGCTCAACCTCCGCTTCTCTCTCCCTCCCTCCTTGAAAGCCTTTTCTGCCACAGCAGAGGCACTGGAGATCAACTGCACGTGCTCCAGCCCTCTTTCTCTTGACTCGCTCACGTTGGTTGGCCGCACAGAGCTTCTCGTTGCTTCGCTCCCACTGGTGTCCGTCAAAAGTGTCTGCTTGAACGGAATAACCGCCCTCAAGCAGTCCTCACTTTGGGACGTCCCACCTTGGGAGAAACGTTCTGGTTTCGCGTTCACTGCTCGACGTCATTTGGCTGCTACTGAGGCTTCCGTGACGCAGCTACTGAGCAGCATAGCGCCAACAGTGGAGTCGCTGACAGTGACGCATGGCTTACCGCTAGAGCAAGTGCCTGCAGAATGGATCTGCCTGCGCCACCTTGCCATCGGTGTGGATGGCGGCAGGAGAAGTGGTGGTGGGAGGCGCACGATGTCATCGCAGGATGAACTCATTCTTTCCCTGCAAAGGAGATATGCTGGAATAGGAAAGAGCAGCAGCGGCAGCCTGGAGGATGAAGAAATCAGGCCTCCCTTTATTAATGCCCCAAAACTGCACTCTATTTTCTTTGCCACGCGGCACTGGCAGCCGAGTACCTTGGATTCTCTGCACCAGCACTTCACTTCTCTGGCGCTCTACTGCATTCTTGGGCGGTCGTTTCGGTGGGAGGGGGAATGGGGGAGGCAAAATATTGAGCCGGAAAT